GCCACATCCACCAAGCCACGCCCACAGAACTGGTAATAAAAAAAATTGAATCCCACCACTGGTCTGGATGGACCAATAGAGGAGATTGGAAGCTGAGGAAGGTAGAGTCTTCCATTATTGGAAAGGATCCCTGGGAGGCGTTGTTTCTTCATGGATTATTGATTGATTGTTTTCCCATCTCCAAGATGCAAAGGCCTCTTTTCTATGTGGCATGGTTCACCTTTTATTAAAGGGGTATGATAAGATTAACAGTAGTAACTGCACTTCACAGCCCTTTTTAAGCGGTTTACAGAGTCATTATGTTGCCTCCAACAATCTGGGTCCTCATTTTACTGACCTCAGAAGGGTGGAAGCCTGGGTCCACCTTGAGTTCCATCAGGATCGAACGTCTGGCTGTGGGCAGAGTTAGCCTGCAAAACTTCATTCTAACCACTGCACCACCATGGCTCCTTGTATGGAGTACTAGTGGGGTTGGTCCTAGTCAGATTGTAGGTATGAAATGTGCAGAGATATGATGGAGTCCAAGGTACCGTATGTAAGTCAAGTGTCAGTGAGTTAGTCATTAAGCAGATCTGATTTTACTGCCTATATTGGCTGGATTGAACTTGCTTTCACTGTGTCTCCATCTTCTCTTACTTGGCAGCCCATTGTCCACTTCTAGTGTCCATTCTTTAGCCCCGGACCACATACCAGTCAGCCCAAGAATGGAGAAAGGAAGCCCAGGTGTCACCAGGAGTAACTGGAGCAACTCTCTACCCAGGAACGGTATGGCTCATGGCTTATATGGAACAATGTGGGCATGTAATTTAATTCAACAATTCAAGGGGATGAATATACCTGTGTTTTCCTGAAAATAAGACTGGGTCTTATATTAAATTTTGCTACAAAAGACACACTAGGGCTTATTTTCCAGTTAGGGCTTATTTTCAGGAAAATATGGCACTAAATGCATCTTATTTTTGGAGTAGGGTTTATATTACAAGCATCCTGAAAAATCATGTTACAGCTTATTTTCTGATTGGATCTTATTTTTGGAGAAACAAGGTATATTCTCTGGAAAGTGGGCATGCTCTGCTGTCTTCTGTAATGGAATTCCAATTTTGAAGAAAAGAAGCCCTAGAAAATGCTGGAGGTAAAATGGATCTTCTCAGATCTCACATAGGAAGTGTATTGTCCAGATTGGTGGAATGTTCCACGTTTTCTGGACAGAAAAGAGACTCAGTGACAATTAAATCCCGTCTACGTAAGTGAACAATGAAAACTACTTTAGAATCTTCCTTATTAGGTTTCTTAAAGGTTCCCCTCACACATATGTGCTAGTCACTCCTGGCTCTAGGGGGCAGTGCTCATCTCTGTTTAAAAGCCAAAGAGCCGGCACTGTCCGAAGATTTCTCCGTGGTCATGTGGCCAGCATGACTCAATGCTGAAGGTGCACAGAACGTTGTTACCTTCCCACCAAAGATGGCCCCTATTTTTCTACTTGCATTTTTACGTGCTTTCGAACTGCTAGGTTGGCAGAAG